CTTGTTCCCTTTGTCCTCATCCTTCCTCCTACACCCTCCACTCTGCCCCTTTCCTAGGATGTTCTCCTTCATCCTCAAGATCTGAGCTTAGGTGTCTGCTCCTCCGGGATGCCTTTCCCCATCCCTCCCCAGAAAGCTGGCCTCCTCCCCTCTGCTCTCACTCACCTGCACTTTCTCTAACATTGGATTCCTGGTTCCATATTGTGAGTACTTACATTTATTTAAGCAGGGTGAAACTCACAGAACATACAATTAACCATTTAAAAGTGAACGATTCCACAGCATTTAGTGCGTTCACAACGTTGTGCAACCATCACCTCTATTGAGTTCCAAAACACTTCTATCACCCGAAAAGGAAACTCTGTACTCATTAAGCCGTTGCCCCCGTTCCTTCTTCCCCCCACCCCAGCCCCTGGCACCCACTAGTCTGATTTCTGTCTTTATCGATTTGCCTGTTCTGGACATTTCGTATAAATGTAATCATACATTATGTGACGTTTCATGTTCGGCTGATTCCACTTGACATCGTGGTTTTGAGGTTCATGCAATTGCAGCCTGTATCAGTAGTTCATTCTTTTTGATGCTGGAATCATATGCCGTTGTATGGACGCACCACCTTTACTTTATCCATTTGTCAGTCGATGGGCATTTGGGTTGTTTCTACCTTTTGGCTGTTGTGACTAGCATTGCTGTGAACATTCACATACAGACATTTGAGTGCTGCTTTCAATTCCTTTGGGTCTATACCTGGGAATGCAATTGCAGTGAGTGCTTATTTCATCGTTGATCTTCCCACTGGCCTGTGAGCATCTCGAGGACAGGGGAGACAGACGCCCGACGCCAGGCGCTGGTATAGCGAGTGCCTGGGGAGCAGGCTGGATGAGTCCCAGGCATCCAGAACAGACGTCTCACTCATCCTCAAGCACCCGCCCATTTGTCTGCATCATCATGTGGTCCAGGCTCTGTGCTGACAGCTCGACTCATTGTGTCTCATTAACTCGCTGCTTGCTTCACTCTGGTATTTGCTCAAATGCCCACTGTCACGTCTGCATCCTTTTCTGATTGAAGTAGCCCCAATACTCCTTTTTGGTGCCCACGTCCAGCTTTCTTTTCCTCCCTAGCATTTATTATCACTGACATATTACAGGCATTGTATTATATATGACGTCTTATAAGTAATATAATGTTACTTTTTTTGTTCATCTCCTTTTCTTCTCTGTTTCCTTACCAAGAACATGAGCTCTGTGAGGACAGGAACTTTTGTCTCTTTTGTTCATTGCTGTATCCCGGTGCCTAGAACAGTGCCTGGTATACAAGAAGAGTTCAAATATTTGTGAAATATACTTGGGTGAATGAATGAATGAATGTGTTTAATCCTCACTGCACCCTCCAAGGGAGCCATGATTATTCATTCTCATTTTACAAACCCCCAGAGTCTCAGAGAAGTCAAGTAACTGGCCCAAGATCACAGAGCTGATCAGCAGTGGAACCAGAGTTCTAAGCTGGATCTCTCTGAGTCGCAGTCCCATATTCTTTTCACTTCACTCAAGGGAGCATGAGCTCTAGCGATAATGCCCAAAGTACTTCCCTGTGGCCTTGGAGTGTGGTATGTGATTAAGATAACTTAAAAAAATAGATTTACTTTCTTACACATGTTTTACTTAGGCTCATTTGCCAATGTGCTTGTATTTCCTGAGCAAATACATCAGTCCAGAGCTTGCTGGGTGAATCAAGCTGATCTGGGCTTGATTCTCTGTCTGCCTGCAGCTCTCAGAGCTATTCAGCCTCTCTGAACATCACCTTCCGAGAGGTACACAGGGAGGTGACGTCACCTGGTGCCGTGTTCAGCTCTCAGCACAGGTGCGTATGCCTTAAACGGGAGGTAGCAACGCATCACCATGGTGTTGAGAATTACAGTACAATCAGCTAACGTTGATGGAGGGCCTGCTGTGTGCCAGGTGCTGGGCTCAGCACACTGCTTGTGTTATTGCATTTGATCCTCATAATATTCCCCCGGAGCAAGTCTACTATTTTCCTGTTTCACTGCTGATAAAGCTAAGACTCAGAGAAGTTTGATGAGTGTCCAAGGTCACACAGCCAGGAAGTAGGAGAGCCAGAATTAGGGCCAAGTCATCTGACTCCAGAGCTGGCTCTCTTAGACCCTGGACTAATGTGTATGTGTAAATATTTGAGAATCGACACACCATAGTGATGGTGATTTGGGTAGAATGTTCTGGCAAAGTCTGGGAGGAAGGAAAAGGGAGACTCTTGCCAGAAGTAGCCGTTGCTCCAGCTCCTGCTTCCATTTTGCGGATTATGACAATCCAGGGTCTTCGGTGAATGCAGGTCCCACTGTCCTAGAGGCCCTGTGCCCTCGTTGTTGAGTTGGCCAAGATCCTGGGTTTGAATCCCAGAGGCCAGCTCCCATCTCTGCTGTAACCTTGGAAACATCTTCATCTCTGCACATACATTTCCTCATCTACAAAGTAGAGATCAAAATGGCCCTTTGCACACAGATTTATGAAAATTAAGTAAGATGTGGAACAGTCTCAATATAACAAATGAAGAAAACAGATGACAAACCATTAAATAAGATCTTATGGTGTTTCTTAAAAAAAAAAAAAAGCACAGCAAACCAGCTGGCAGGCTCCACAGCCGAGCGTTAATAGGCAGGATGGCTCGGCTGTAGAACAACATTGCCTTTTTCCTTATCCGAATTTCCTAATTTTTCTATAATGAATATGTAACAACAAAATGAGTTGTTTTTAATTAAAAAAGGGGCAGTGAGTCAGTGTTCATGAAAGCACTTTGTAAACTGTCAAATACTCTATAAATTAGTTCTTGTCATGGTCCTTATAGTAATTATTATTGTTATTGCCAGTCGGCCATGAGTTGGAATTTATTTCAGCTTGGCCTCTGATGGGAGGGCCCACTCGATCGCCTTCTGCCAGGTCCTGCCACGTGGTCCTCTCTCTCTTTTAGAAAATAAATATATTTATTTATTTATTTTTGGCTGCGTTGGGTCTTTGTTGCTGCGTGCGGGCTTTCTCTAGTTGCGACGAGCGGGGGTTACTCTTCTTTGTGGTGTGCGGGCTTCTCATTGCGGTGGCTTCTCTTGTTGTGGAGCAGGGGCTCTAGAGTGGAGGCTCAGTAGTTGTGGCTCGCGGTCTCAGCAGTTGTGGCTCGCGGGCTCTAGCGCGCAGGCTCAGTAGGTGTGGCACATGGGCTTCGTTGCTCTGCGGCATGTGGGATCTTCCCGGACCAGGGCTTGAACCCGTGTCCCCTGCATTGGCAGGTGGATTCTTAACCACTGTGCCACCAGGGAAGCCCCGTGGTCCTCTCTTGATACCTACTGACTTGTCTCCATCTGTGCTGCCACCACCCAAGTGGAAGCCAGCATCCTCTCTCAGCGGGAGCCCTGTGATACCCTTTAACTGGGTTCTCCTTGTCCAAGCAGCAGCCTCTATCTATCTATCATCTATTATCTATTTGTCTATCTATCCTCTATTACCTCTCTCTCTCTCTATATATATATCTTCCCGTTTTGTTGAGAAATAATTGGCATACAGCACTGTGTATGTTTAAGGTGTCCAGCATAACGGTTTGACTTACATACATGATGAAGTGATGACTACATAGGTTTAGTGAACTTCCATCATCTCATATAGATACAAAAGAAAAGAAAAAGAACTAGTTTTTTCCTTGTGATGAGAACTCTTAGGATCTACTCTCCTAACCACTTCCCTGTGTAACAAATGGCAGTATTAGTTATATTAATCATGTGGTACAGCACATCCCTAGTACTTATTTATGTTATAATTGGAAGTTTGTACCTCTCGTCAACCTTCATCCAGTTCCCCTCCTCCGCACCCCTATCTCTGGTAATGACAAATCTGATCTCTTTTTCTGTAAGCTTGTTTGTCTTTTGAAGTATAATTGACCTACACCACTCTGTTACTTCCTGGTATACAGCATGGTGATTTGAAATTTCTATATATTACAAAACGATCACCACGATAAGTCTAGTTACAGCGTGGGGAATATAGTCAATAATAACGTGATATCTTTGTATGGTGATAGATGCTAACTAGAGAAATGAACTTTAGATCAAAACCTTCAATGGCTTCCTGTTGAACTTGGTATAAAATCCACATGGGCCTGGAGGTCTGCCCTCACCTGTCCCTTCAGCCTCCTGAGCCAGTTTTGCCATTGTCACCATATACTGCCTTCGAGAAGACACCGGAAAAGGGACCCAGGAAAGTGCCTGCCCTGACTTAGATGGTTTTGGGGCCTGAACGTTTGGTCTCAGTATTCGACCCTTACGCTTGTACATCTCTTAGTGTAGAGGATGTAGGACTGCACGTTGTAGCCTGAGAGTCTGTATGTGTAGACCAAATACGTATTTGCACTCTTCATACATCAAATGAGTGAAAAATGTTAGTGAACTATAGGATTTAGTTTTATTTTCTGACTTAGCTTATATCAGGGCTGAAAAACACCTCCAGCTGCATTCAGGCAGTAGGATTTTTTTTAGTGCTCCATTTTTTCTAATAAACTTGTAAGACAAGAAAATCTCCTTTCTACCTCTATGCTTTTGTCCCTACCAGCCTCCTCGCCTCTCCCCACACCTGCCATGCTCTTTCCTTGGACATTTGAGCTGTGGGCTCCCCAACCTTGGACAGTGGAGGGCAAGGCTGTTGAATGGGGATTATGGTGAGACGGTCAACTAAAGGGTTTCATTCTTTTTGGAGGGGCCAAGTGGGTGTGGTTGAATTTATGTAAATATGCGTACAGCATATCGCGCATAATTTATGTAAATGTGCACACAGCCATACCGTGCATAATTTATGTAAATATGCGTACAGAGCACGATGTAATCAGCACACGCACGGTGCACGGTGTATACAGTGTAACGCGCGTCTACGGTAATGTGCCTACAGTGTAATTCACCCACTTTCTCATGGCTCATCTGTCGTCTCTGCTCCTTTGTCCCAACTCAGGAGGCAACCTTTCCAAACAAGACTGGACCATCCAGTGGCCCACCACGGAGACGGGGAAGGAGAACAACCCCGTGTGCCCCCCGGAGCCGACCCCGTGGATCCGCACCCACCTCTCCCAGAGCCCCAGGGTCCAGTCCAAGTGCGTCCAGCACTACTGTCACGCCAGCCCCAGCCCGGGGCCCCCCGTGTACACCCACGTGGACAGGCTCACTGTGGACGCCTACCCGGGCCTGTGCCCGCCCCTGCCACTGGAGTCGGGCCACCGGTCCCTGCCTCCGTCGCCCCGGCAGCGGCACACGGTCCGCACCCCGCCGCGCACCCCCAACATCGTCACCACCGTGACCCCGCCCGGCACGCCACCCATGAGGAGGAAGAACAAGCTGAAGCCCCCGGGGACCCCGCCGCCCTCCTCCCGGAAGCTGATCCACCTGATCCCGGGTTTCACGGCCCTGCATCGGAGCAAGTCCCACGAGTTCCAGCTGGGTCACCGCGTAGACGAGGCCCACACGCCCAAGTGAGTGCATTTGGTGGGTTCCCGGGGGCAGCTGAGCCTCCCAGTCAGGGAAGCTTCAAATCAACTTGTATTTCCCTCCTCCAGTTGAATGAAAGGTGGATTTTCCCTAATGGCTGGTCCAGAATTTCCCAGAAATGACCGCTTTTAATACTATTAATGCTGTAAAGTAGGGGTCGGAAAACTATAGCCCAGGAGCCAAATCTGAATTTATTGCAACGCATCCAGATTCGTTCCGTTCTGCTTTGTCTGTGGATGCTTTCCTGCTACAATGGCCGAGTTGAGGGTGGCCCGAAAAGCCGCAATCTTTACCGTCTGGCCCTTTACAGGAAAACTTGCCAGTCCCTGCAGAGTCTATCCTAGTGCTGCCCCTAGAAATAGGACGCCAGCTGCATACGCGACCTTACGGTTTCTAGTAGCTGCCTTAAAAGAGTCAAAAGAAACGAGTGATATTAACTTTCATGATATGTCATTTAACCCAATATAGTAAAACGTGATCATTTCACAGTAGAATCAGTGTAAAGTATTATTACGGAAATACTTTGCATTCTTTTCTCCACTCTGAGTCTTTGAAATCTGGAGGGTATTTCACACCAGCAGCTCAGCTCAGTTCGTACTGGCCACCTTCCAAGTGTGGACTGGCTGCCTGTGTCACGTGGCTGCGGTGCTGGATGGTGCTGCCCTGACCGACCCTGTGCCTGGGACTTGCTCTGTGTTTATACCTGAGATACATGCCCAGGTCTGCTGGGGGTGGGAGGGGCCTCAGGGAGCGGATGAGTGGACTGTCAGAGCAAAGGTCGTCCCACAGAAGCTGCAGGTGGGGCCACAGGCACCCAGGGGAGAAAAATCCTGAAAGTTGACATGGGTTGTGCCTGGCTCTGACTTGCGGGGGTGGGGGGGTGGGGGCGGTGGGGGGGTGGGGGGGCGTAGGTGGGACTTGCTGCCAGCAGAGGGCGACACGGCATCTGTGGCTGTATGCTGGCTAATGAGAGAAATGGGGCAGCTCCCTCCAGGGCCCCTCAGAGGCTGACTGTGACCTGGGTCCCTTGCAGGTTTTTGAGGTCTCAGTGTATTAAAAATGGAAGAAATGCTAAACAGGGTCACAGGAGTGAGTAGCACGTTTTAAATATTTACCTTTAACAAAATTGCATCTGAGGCATAGAAGATAAAATGGTTATGGATAATCCTATGAGGAGATGCGGGGAAGAGTCTAAATTTGGGAACTGTCGTGTGTGAAAGGCGTGGACCCCGGTTCTGGGAGCTCTGAGGTGGGGCAACCACTGGGGAACGGTTCACTGCATTTCCATTTCAACGATTTAGCCGGTGTTTCGTGAGCTCTCACTACCATATGCGGGTGAATCTAAGACGTTGATCGTAAGATACATCCTGTGTGCATCTTAGAATTGATGAAATGTGTTGTGTTCTAGACTCTGGGCTAGTCGGCAGGGTACAATGGAAAGGAAAAAGACATAGCCCTTGGCCTCGTGAAGACTGACACTAATCCAGTAACCACACATAGGTGTTGTAATCTTTTTTTTTTTTTTTTTTGCGGTACGCACGCCTCTCACTGTTGTGGCCTCTCCCGTTGCGGAGCACAGGCTCCAGACGCACAGGCTCCAGACCCACAGGCCCAGCGGCCATGGCTCATGGGCCCAGCCGCTCCGCGGCATGTGGGATCTTCCCGGACCGGGGCACGAACCCGTGTCCGCTGCATCGGCAGGCGGACTCTCAACCACTGCGCCACCAGGGAAGCCCCAGGTGTTATAATCTTATGTCCAGCATTTACGAACAGTGTTACAGGCTATCAGGAGAAAGTGCAGGATGCTGTCAGAGCTTGTGGAGCTGATTGAGTTTGCACTGGCAGGGAGCTGAGTGGGGGGACTGGGGAGGGTTTGGTCGGCGTGGCTTCCAGAAGAACTGTTTGGACTGAAGGTTAATTAGGGATTAAGATGGTGGAAGGGGTGGGAGGTGTTTCAGGAAGGGAGCATGACCCATTGGAGGAACTGACGGAAGGCCTCTGTGGCTAAGGGAGCAGGCAGGTGATGCAAGAAGAGACTCCTGGGTTAGGCAGGTGGCAGCACTGTTCACAACAGCCAAAAGGTGAAACAACCCGAGTGTCCATCAGCAGATGAAGGGATGAACACAGTGTGGTCCATCCGTACAATGAAATATTATTCAGCCATAAAAAGGAATGAAATTCTGACACCTGCTACAACATGGATGAACCTTGAAAACGTTATGCTAAGTGAACTAAGCCAGACACGAAAGGACAACTATGGTATGATTGAACTGATGTGCGGTGCCTAGAATAGGCAAATTCACAGAGAGAGAAAGTAGAATAGAGGTTGCCAGGGGCTAGAGGAGGGGAATGAGGAGTTAGTGTTTACTGGGTAGAGTTTCAGTTTGGGAAGTGGAAAAGTTCTGGAGATGGATGGTGGCCATGTTGGCACAACAATGTGAATGTGCTTAATGCCACTGAATTGTACCCTTAAAAATGTTTAAAATGGTAATTTTATGTTATATATATTTTACAACAATGATGAAAAAAGAGACAGGAAAGCCAGGCATGGGCACACTTTTTCTGTAAAGGGCCAGAGAGTAAATGTTTTAGGCTTTGCAGATCAAGTGGTCTGTGTCATCTCTGTCATCGTAGCAAAAGCAGCCACAGACAATAGCTGAATAAGCGGCCGTGGTGATGTTCCAATAAAACTTTATTTAAAAACAGGTGCCTGGCTACATTTGGCTCACTGGCTGTAGTATGCCCTGGCAGAAGCCTTGTTGTAGGCAGTGATTCTCCCTTCTAAGGCCTTAAAGTGATTTAAGTGGAAGACACGATCAGATCTGATTTTACGAAGGTTACTCAAGCTTCTGTGTGAAATCTGTATTGGAAACATACCACTTCACCAGACATATTTGGGACATCAGAGACTTAACAGAGGGTTGATGCTTTTCTGATTGGAGTTGGGCTTGATTTTTATGGGTTTTTTAATATAAATTTATTTATATTTTACTTACTTATTTTGGCTGCGTTGGGTCTTCGTTGCTGCGCACAGGCTTTCTCTAGTTGCGGTGAGCGGGGGCTACTCTTCGTTGTGGTGCGTGGGCTTCTCATTGCGGTGGCTTCTCTAGCTGCGGAGCACGGGCTCTAGGCACTCAGGCTTCAGTAGTTGTGGCACGTGGGCTCAGTAGCTGTGGCTGGTGGGCTCTAGAGCACAGGCTCAGTAGTTGTGGCACACAGGCTTAGTTGCTCCGCGACATGTGGGATCTTCCTAGATCAGAGCTCGAACCCCTGTCCCCTGCATTAGCAGGAGGATTCTTAACCACTGCGCCACCAGGGGAGTCCTTATTTTTATGGTTTTGTGAGAGCCAGAGAGACTGGCTGCTGAGACCTCAGGATGTGGGGAGGGTTGCAGGAAGGCTAGGAACGCAGGTTGCTGCTGTGGAAGGTGGGAGGGACATTTGGGGTCTGCTGGCCATGGTTTCCCCAGACTGTGCATCTCCCTCACTCATCGCTGTGTTGATCACAGAGTGAGGTGGAATTTGACCAGAAGGCAGAACCTGGCTTGACAGACACACGATCTTTTAATCTACAAGCTGGGGGCGAAGTGAGACAGGCTGCCCTTTGCCTGTTTGTTTTTTGCCCCAGCATTATTGAGATGTAATTGACAAATAACACTGTGTAAGTTCAAGGTGTACAGTGTGATGACTTAGTACACACACGTATCACGAAATGATTACCACAATAAGGTTAGTTAGCACATCCATTACCTCGCATAATTACCTTTTTTCTGTGGTGAGAACAGTTAAGATTTGCTCTCTTAGCAACTTTCAAATGCTAACAATATAATATTGTTAAACAGTCAACATATGGTACGTTAGATTCCCCAGAACCTATCCTTGTAACTGGGAGTTTGTACCCTCTGAACAGCATCTCCCCATTTTTCCCACCCCTAGTCCCTGGCAACCACCATTCTACTCTCTGTTTATATGAATTCAATGTTTTTAGATTCCACATATAAGTGAGACCATGCAGTATTCGTCTTTCTCTGTCTGACTTATTTCCCTTAGCATAACGCTCTCAAGTTCTATCCATGTTGTTGCAAATGGCAGGATGTTTTCTTTTCTGTGGTTGAATAATGTTCCATTGTGTGTGTGTGTGTGTGTGTGTGTGTGTGTGTGTGTGTGTATGCCATGTTTTCTTTATCCATTCATCCATCAATGTTCATTTAGGTTGCTCCCCTATCTTGGCTATTGTGAACAATGAACATGGGGGTGCAGATATCTCTTTGAGATGATAACTTCATCCTCTTTGGATATATACCCAGAAGTGGGATTGCTGGATCATATGGTAGTTCCATTTTTAAATTTCTGAGGAAACTCCATACTGTTTTCTACAGTGGCTGCACCAATTTACATTCTTAGCAACAGTGACCAAGGGTTCCCTTTTCTCCACATCCTCACCTACACTTGTTATCTCTTGTCTTTTACATGGTAGCCTTTCCAACAGGTGTGAGGTGATATCTCATTGTGGTTTTGATTTGTATTTCCATGATAATTAGTGATACTGAACACCTTTGCATATACATGTTGGCCTTTTGTAAATTTGTAAATCTTCTTTGGAAAAATGTTTATTCAGGCCTTTTGCCCATGTTTTAATTGGATCCGTTTTTTTTTTCCCTATTGAGTTAGTTGTAGGAGTTCCTTACGTATTTCGGTTATTAACCCCTTATCAGACATATGGTTTGCAAGTATTTTCTCCCATTCTGTAGATTGCCTTTTCATCTTTTGACTGTTTCTTTTGCTATGCAGAAGCTTTTTAGTTTGATATAGTCCCACTTATTTATTTTTCCTTGTGCTTTTGGTGTCATACCCAAAAAAATCATTGCCAAGACCAGTGTCAAGGAGCTTATTTTTTTGGTCTATTTTTTAAATTGAAATATAGTTGTTGTATAATATTATATAAGTTACAGGTGTACAATATAACGACTCACAATTCTTAACGG